GTTGTTATGACAAAATGTATAAATGGTCGAAAAAATTCAATGACAAAATAAATAATTTCCACGAAATACAAGAACAACAATAAAAAATCGTATACAACGTTGAAGCAAGGAACCGACCCACAATTTATCTTTCGGTGTACTAGATCACATTAGGCTCACCACTGAAGAGATCACAGCTACTCGTGGTTTGACAACACTTGTGCCTGTAACACCTGCGAAATCGAACGGTACTAACCAAGTGAAATTAGAAGTCAAGAGTGAATGATTTTTAAGCTATATCTGTAAATTTATCGAAATATTGAGAAGCGTTTGATCGCAGCTGGCTGGTTGTTGACGGGGATATGTAGCACAAAATGTCCACTTGTGATCTGGTGCGGAGTCACGACCGACCACTTATGATGTCAGCAACAATGTTGAAGACCTATATGACTATTTATTTAACCCTACAAGTACAACACTCATAAATAATGGAACTCAGAATGGCAAAGTGTACTCTGTGTACCGGTCTCGAAACCAAGGAGAACACAAGGAGTACTACTGAAAGCATTGTAATTGGAAATCAAACCAACTGAGGAATCATGTACCAAGAGAAACCATCAAATAACACACAAATTTCTTTCAAATCGTCTAGTCGATTACTTCAACTGACAACATGAAAATAGCTGCACAACTTTCCACATAATAACAATAATGATCCAGTAAAAATTTGATAAAAATCAGTAGTTAGTTGACCTCAACATAAACTACCAATTTGTATAGAGTAAGATTTCATACGAAATCTGAGGAGTGAGATTTTATATAGTGTCTGACCTGTGTGTTTGACAACATCAAGGATCGGTTGATCAAATCTCGTTTATCTGTGGAATTTTCGGTGATAATTAGGAGTATTTGAATTGTAGTACAAACTAAGAATCCCAGAAATAACTCAATCGGATCAAGAAGTACTAAATAAACACAAACGAATGTACTATATTTGGAATTCGAAATCAAGCATTCGACAAACACAAAGGAATCATTAGTTCATTCAAACACATTCCCAGAAAACTGATTCCTAATTTCGATCTTGCAATCTACTGAAATTAGTGCATTCAGAAAAAGACTGAATCAAGAATCTTGATTGTGGAATCTATAAATTTTTCATAAATAATCTGAGGTCGTTAATGAAGATTCACTCGAACAAATTTTTGTGAAACTTCACATTAAAATACCCGGTTAATCATGCAAAGTAAAACTTACAATCTAGAACTACAACTGTTTCCCCACAAACAGGAAAGCTAATAAAATACCTTGGAGGTATTCAAATACAGTCGTAATAAAACAATACAGTAGCAAACCTTCATGTTATCAGTGGAGCTGTTGGCTCTCTCACTTAACGCCAGTGATAAAATCCCAACGTTTAAGTTTATGCAATTATTAGGAAACATTTCTACACTGACTGATTACTGGGTTGCAATCGACATTGTATTTGCCTTGTGTTTAGTGCTAATATACTTCCATCAATCAAAGTATAATGCCACAATGATTCCGACCAACTGAACATCATGTGTTATTATTCGATGCCCCAACCTTACAGGTGGTCAGTTACCGACCAAGTAGCTTAGTAGTGGCATCTCAAAGTTAAATATTGGATGACGTGGGTTTGAACCCAACAGAAGTGTCAGTTCTCTTAAGATCGCAGGTAAGCTTGATGACCAGTGTCATCTTGCACAAAACATATACCCAAACGTCCTTCAGATTATCTGAAGTCACCTATTACTGAATGAAAAGTTGTCTATGAAGGCAACTTATAGTGGAACTATTTTTGATCCTATCAATCTCTCAGCTTTATACAAAAAGTATTATTATTTTTTCTCCAGCTACCTTTAAACAGACTATGGTTTCTTAATTAAACATATTTCTTACAATCAGTGGTAGATAATCTTCGAGTGACGGATCTATGGTCCATTCGATTGAAGTAAGCACCCACTGTCACGAGAATTGTTGTAACAGGTGGACTGCAGGTTTTGATAAGCAGCGTTTATATTATCGATTACAGTGGCACGTAAGGACGACCTAGAGTCCCGATTGGTCCCACTTCCCTGTCTAGCCCAGCCAGTTGAGTCAAGTCACAGCCTCTGAGTTATGAATCATTATATTTCAGACATACTCTATTTATATACTAACCAAACAGACCACATCGTACCACAAAAATAAAAAACATCTGTACAATATTTAACGAGTGAAATAAATAACGGCCGATAGGGAATGTTCATTTAACGTCCAAGGACATCATTAGACTTAACATGATAATGATTGGCACATTATTCCTCAGCATCCATAACAAGAATGAAACCACTTCCACACGATAATGTATTTATGCTGTTTCTTTATCTTAATGCTTTAAATGTGCGAACTCGACAGATCTTCATTAAAAAGGGACACTATCTCTGTGCTGTTAAATTTGCATCCAGTGGTGCCTTCTTTTACATCAACTGACAGATTGAAGACGTCTATAAGTTTATACGGAATTGTGCTAGTGTGACAAGCAGTACACTAAAAACTGTGTAATGTTAACCGTCCTTACAGCTCGTAATTTAAGAAAATCACTCCTGAGTGTAACCATCATCTTTTGCCATTGGACTGTCAATGATGAATAATTTAGTGAATGAATGACAGAATTCTTTAGATCTTAACGAGCGAAAATGAGACGAGTCGTGAGACCTGTGAAGTATAGTAACTTGTGTCAGCAAAAATCTCTAAAAACATTATGCAGTTCTAGAAGGTGACACAGAATAATTTCCGGTGATTCTGAGGTTTCGATAAGAACAAGACAAATTTTGTTGATCTGATTAGTAAAATCAATGCGTCACATGAAAACATTAAGGTGAATAACTTCATTTGATGGTTCTTAGACTTGGTCTTAATTCGACCAACCTATGCAAATTATATTTCAAAATCGTTTACTTTAAAAAAAATATTTGATCATATTAAGTTATCACTTTATTTACTTATTTATTTTAACACATAGATATTGGTACAAGGAGGTACCAAATACATATGCGCCACACAAATCTCATTCGATATGTGTGAAGGCTGTGGTACTGCCCGGGTGCCCAAACCGAAGCAGGTGGTTTTCTAAGGGGGTCACTCCCCGAGCCTTCGACCTGAAGGTCTGACCCACAAGGCAGTGGAGCATCGTGAGGAGATGCAGTCCCATAGAAGCCGGTGACCAACAATTGATTCATACACCACTTGTTCCCGCAGGATACTGGAGGCCATGTGCACCAGTGGTTTGGAATCCGGTTAAAGCGCCGGATATTCGCTAGCAGAGGCTATATACACGTGACCATGTAAGAGTGTTTCGAGAGGGAGAGCGGACTCTCCCCACTCTCGGCCGTACCAGGGCATTTGGGAGCTGTTACTTTACTAGTAAATTAATCTATGTCGCTCACTAAATGTGTTATGTTTGTCCTTGATTCAAATGAAAACTTGGGTCAATTAATGTCTCTTGACCAGTTATGACAATCGTATAACGATATCGTCAATCATGTTATTATTTCTATATATAAAATCCTTTGCATGGTAAATTCAAAAACATCTTTATATAATAGTGAAACATGGATAAAAACATTTGCGTCGAACGAGCAGAAATGATTATTCCTCCAGAAAATATATTTACAGTTCAAATTAGTCGGAAAACTTGATATTATTTTTGACAGTGATCCAAAACCTGAGTGTAGTTAACCAGCTATTAAAACAGATTCCACTGAGGTTTAGAAAAGATCTATTAAAGATGAAGATCACCGTTTAAGTGCAGTGATGCAATAAAATTAACAGAAAACCTAATGTTCGTAAAATTATTTGACTTGAAATTTAGAGCCTGTATTTTTCACTGACGCCTACACGTATCATAGTTAAATAAATATGATTGATACAATTTTGTCTAGATACATATCTATACTAATATATATAATATAAAGATAAACATCAGAACTAAGATAACCTTGCAAAATGCATTTAAACCAAACAGTGGACACTTAGATTTTCATTTAAATAGAAATTACATTTATCCGACCTAATACCGTATGGAAGATGGACTCTACTGACCTAATCGAGGACTAAAATATCAGTTCGTACAAACTACAAAATTAGTTCCTTATCTTTCCTAAATATGTGATCGTTCATAAGTTTCTCTGAAGTCAATGGGATGAGAATCGATCGAGAAAATAAGCATATAACTCATCAACCACTGGGAATTATGAAGTGAGCGATGGCCAATAACTATTTAGAACAGGAATCCCAGAATGTGGTGTAATCAGATCACTTGCTTAACAAATTAGTGTCGTAACATCATGAAGTTCATCCACGTTATGATGGCATGAAATACATTTAGACTGAAATAAATAATGATTTAACTCATTTCATCAACAATGGACTGAATTAAACGAGTTGGACACCACTTGTTTGTCTTCGCTTCACCACTAACATTTCAGACTCGGTAGTAACGTTAAGTTTGATAAATTAGTCGAGTTGTATCTAGTTAATAAATCCCAATATCAATCTATTTACTCCTTTTTAGTATTTTCATCTCTAACTATTAATAAAATTTCACTAGTGAGAATTAATTCTTCAATTCTATTGATTTAATGGGAATAAATACCTGGCTTTATCAGAAAACCCACACATCTATAGTAACCATTCATATAATGTAACGAAAACCAATAAAAACATGTGTCATAAAAAAACGCTCAGTTTTTACATATCAACGACAATAAGTCAGACTTGTAGCTATAGGTCAGTAGTAAGTAGACTTAATCATACATTTTCACACTACACCGACTAAAAAATTCGAACATAAGTGGCAATACCACTATCACTACAAGATGCAATTCAGCGATTCATCTAATGACCACTACAATGTATTCTGCATCGAAAGTGGCAAACAATAAAAATGTAATCCTATTCCATTTCAAACCTATGATAACTTCCTATAATTATGGACAAAAAAACAATCATGAACATGCCTGTTTCGTCCCACATAAATTTTGTTATTTTTCAATAATTTTTATCATGGTTAAAGAAACAAAGTTCATGCTGCACAGTAGAATGTAAACTGGACATGAAAGATAAGAAACAGGAAAAGAAGATAACTAGCCAACAGTTGAGATACTTTTAAACGTATGAACAAAAAAATGAGTTGGGAAAGTGTGCATAAGTCGTAAATACAAAACAAAGACCACAATTTTAGTATCGACTACAAAGCGTTAAGCAACACATTTAAAAAGGGGAAGGTAGGAACAAAACCATAAAAAAGAATAACAAGAAAACGCAACGACTAGACCATAATACTTAGTTCGGAAAACAAAAGAAATAGCATAAGTCATATGAAGATATTAAAGAAAGTGATTAGAAGGGTTTAGAAGACAAATCTTAGAACAGAGACAAATAGGCAGCTGAGCCAAACCATTCTGCTGTTATGTTAACCGATTAGGATATAATAACGCAAAAAATATATCAAGAGTTGTAATAGTAAAGTAACAATAAAATTTGGGTACATAAACTCCAGAAAAAAGGTCAAACTCTCTGAAGGTTATCAAAATGCAAAGTTGGGTCCCCGTAAGACGAATCACGAGTTTCGAAAAGCTCTTAAACAGTTAATAAAACTTAGTTTTCTTTCCACACTGCTCTCCGGATAAAAATTAATAACGGAAATACAGCAAAATAAGATTTTTGATGTAAACATACGATAAGACAAAAACAACTCAGTTCTTATAATGTCTGATCGCTACTATATCGTAGATGAATTTGAGATGGCATCTGAATGCGAAACTGATGGAGACATCATAGGAAACCTTAAGGTATCAGTATTTTGTGAATCTAAACACACTTGTCTACTCTGTAAACCTGTTGAAGTTAAATTTGACAAGATAGAACTATTGCAGTTAGAACTATTTAAATTTGAGTGGATGAAAGTACCGGCTGGTGATGATGACCCAACGGGACCAAATGTAGTGAAATCAAAAGAGTTGGGCTTATCATCAGTGGAACTTCTCATCCCGAATTGAAAACAACTAGGTTCATTAGATGTCATGAATATTGAATGTGGGTTGAGATTAGTAAAGCTATCACATACTGAACTATTAAAATTCAAACTACTGTACGATTGAGATGATAGTTCTTCCTGGTGACCAACTGTATGCACTGGATCTGTGGAATATGAGTCAGCTACAATCCGAGGACTATATGAACTAACTGCAGTTGGGGTTGTTGACATGGACTCAGTGACACAAACTGACGAATTTGCAACCACTTCTAAAGATGGCAATGATAATGTTCCATTAATAGAGTGTGAATAATGCAAAACACTAGAAGCAATATCACCCTGTAAGAGGCCGGGAGGTGGAACAAACAAAGGAGGGGGTGACGAAGCTTGGGCTGAATTCCCGACAGTCATTGGTCTGGTACTACACAACGGCATAGATCTGGTTGGTAAAACTCTATTTAAAACAGCATTATCATATGACGTGTATCCTCCATTCATACATTTCATACCAAGGGTTTCGAAATGACTGAGATGAAAGGCGTTTGAATTAGGTAGTTTATCCGGACGAAAATGCATTCTATTATTTATGTGACAATGGTCATTTAGACTTGTTTGATAACCTAGTCCAGTATTGGTTAGTGACGACGACGATGGAATAACCTCTTCCGACGAAGTAAGATGACCGAAATAGTCCAAATTATTAAGATTAGTGGAATTATTTATTTCAGAAATTCCATGAAATTTTCTATCAGTAACAGGAAAGGGGGATGTGAAGAAAGGCTTTGATTTGGCACAAGGATCAACAAAATAAATGCTTGACTTTTGATTTGATAGATTATTTAATGGCGCAGATGTTTCATATGGAGTCAAGGAGTAGGACTGATTATAAGAATTCATTCTGTTTGTCGACCCAGTTTTAGAAACAATTCTGTCTATATGGTTGTGCTCATCTATTTGTGTTTTGTTAAAGTTTGTGTACATCTGTGAAGTATCTGTGACAGAATATGAGTTAATTACACATTCTTCGTTAGGAATGCCATCCAAAGGGATTGAGATGTTTGAAACTTTAGCACAATTCGATGTTGAAGCATTCATTCTGCTTACATACTCACAGAGATTTGGAGTAAGGCAATTTAAGCGCTTGTTAAGTTCGACGATTTGGTACTCCTTCTTTGTAAGTGTAGCTGGAAGAGTAGTTAGTTTTTTTTTAAAAAAAGCTTGGTAATTTCAACCAACAAAAACAAATTGATACTAAAAAATATATATGCAGTCCCATGGTAGCTGGCGACAAAATATGGGTTCGTACGCCATTTTCCCTCAGGATGCTGGAGCCCATGTGCTCCACTGGTTTGGAATCAGGTTTTCCAACATCCATAGGTGGACCCTCTGTGTACACCAACCCGGTTAAAGCGCTGGACATTCGCTTTTCATCCTCTCAGTTTCGTAGACAACACCCCTGCCGCGAGAAGGCAATGAGCAAGACTTCCTTGATAGTGGCTGTACGCGTGGCCGTTTGAGAGCATTTCGAGAGGGAGAACTGGTTGTCTCAACCCTCAGCCGTACCACGGCATTGGGATGGCAAGTGAATAATAATCGGATAGTTCTCATCTAGTGAGTGATTTAGGGGACAGACAAGCAGGCTCCATGACATAACATGTTCATCTTTTCGACTAATGATATCTAAGAAAGGTAACAGGTTATTATTCTTTTCTTAGCATGAAAGTATAACGTAACTTTAAAGATATTGAGTTTCCTTAACAAACAATTTCGACCTTTATTATTGCTACATGTGACTACTGTGTCATCTACATACGCCTTGTACACAGTCATTTTCGACTAAATCGGAACGTATTACGCTCGTGTATCAGACAGTTACAACAAACCTCATCTGCTCATTCTATTATACAAATTTGTCAAACGGAGTGTCCTAAAGTTTTAAAACACATTGCTAAATTATAACTTTCCTTTAAACAAGTCAACTCAGATCAATAGTTGGCGACTAGACTAATAAACTGAAGAAGTCAAGTCACAAGACGTAATAAGGTTGAACGATGCAAGTGTGAGTGAACTATGATTATTTTGTATATTCACATGACTAAGGAATATTAACTACAACATTTCTTACCTGCATCAATCCAATTACCTGGAAATATGTATGAGTTGTAAATGCCATAGCTTAATTATGGGGTTTCGCCTATAATTATCTTGCATTCCTGTACACTTAGTTTAATATTGAGACTTATATGTGCACCATAGGAGCTAAATCAGACCACAGACCAGACCTTATGAATATTTACAGTATTACATTAAAATCAAAAATAATCAGTTACATGATGACAAAAGGCACATAATAAAGCAACTGAAACAAACCATTTAATTCCGTTATCTCTTTTAGGGAAGAATGGTAAGCCGTCATAAGCTCCTGTTTCATTTTGTCTTCCTCTTTTAAGGTGTCTGTCAGACGTTGATTTTCTTCTTGCAAAGAGTTTACACGAGAGGCAAGATCACTTAATTCAGTCTCAGTTATTTCATGCTTTTGCCGCCGTTTGCTCATATTGTAGTTTTGTTCCACAGAATTAGATTGTTTTGTTCGTTCATTTTTAGTTTGCTTCTTCCATGTCTTATCATTGGATTCACTTAGTCCACCATGTGAAAAACGTTCAGAGTTCAGTGCTGTAAGTTGGTTATTTTTAATAGTTAAAGCTTTTGTAAGATTTTGCAATTCTAATTCTAGTTCCTGCCTTCGTTTTGCGCATAATTCATTGTTTTTGCATGCTTCAACGCATATGGGATCACAGGAATTTAATGAAGTACTTCGAGATTCAGTCATTGAAGCTCTGAAATAGGAAAAATATTTATAAAGAGATGAGAAAAGACAGTAAAAGTCAAACAAATTTAAGTGACAGGTCATAAACTAATAATTTCATAATAACTCATGAAATCTTGGCAGATATCATGATCATTGCAACCTTAGTCAAACGGTCAACGAAATCATGTGACGATATGAAACTAGACAAAAATCAACTATATATATATAATCATGGATAAACGATATGCTGAACAAATTAAAAACATTCTCACCAAAGGAACCGTGAAAATATATTTCCTGAATCTTAATATTAAAATACGAATTCTTCGGAGTTTGATGTGCATTTTACTGTAAATTTATACCTAGTTGAACATTCATTTAAAATTTTATGAGTTGTTTAGAGTTGGGTCTATTATGGAGATGCCTAAAGACATCCGTTAGAAATGTTGAGTTACGACGATAATATATTTTAATTGTCTGATAAGCAACGAGTAATTTAATGGTGGGTAATCACTCCGTGCGAGGATAACACATTATGGTGTACGAATACAATCCTTCATTTGAAAAAGTAAATATATCTCCCTAAGTTTTATTAACCTCAACTATTTTTATACAAACTAATCAATTACACGTAATAATTGTCGAGACAAAAGCACTAATTATTGAGGAAGGTATAGATTAAATAAAACCTTACTTACTTGGAATCTGTGGTTTTAGAAATAACTGGTTCGTTAGATGTTGATTCTGAGGAGCTTGCTTCTATTTGTTTACCAGATTGCTGTTTGAACTGCTGTTCGAGAAGCAAACGATATTTACGCTCTTCAGTGAGACGTTTCTCAGCTGCCTGTAGACTGGCACGATCCGCCTGTAACACGAAACTCAGTGGCACAACTTAGTGTATAAATGATTTAAAAGATACAAGGCTAGTCAAAGTATGTAATATTAAGTTGGAAAAGAACTACATGACTACGTATACAATCAGAAGAGTCTTAGTTTTAGGTGACCCTGAACTGAACAATTGGTGATTAGAATTTAGAAAAATGGAGGATAAATTTCACTAAAAACTGTGAAATCCAGCAGAATAGATCAAAAGCAGATGAATTTCCTGTTTCCAAAATTAAATTAGGTGGGCATTGTTAGAATAATTTGAAGATTTTGACTGACAGTAAATGTTTAGGTCAATATTCCTTCAACAATCACTAGTTTCTGCAAAACACAAAGTTAGAGCAGATATCGAAACATCAGTAGATATAGTGACCAGAGATGGGTTTATAGTTGTAAAGAGTTATACTTAGTGAATTTGCAAATTTAAGTAGGAAGAAAATACTTTTAGTTTTCATGCAGATTTGAAATTGACAAGATTCATTTTTATACCAGATTTTTTAATGATATCATGGAGAAGTCTCATGCATCATATACCTAAAATAAATAATCATCCTTAACAATCCAATCAAGTGATTCAATAATATGAAAAAATCCATTTCTGATGTAGTAGTGGGGCATTTGGTGTTCATATTTATGGTGAGATAACGATGATAAAAGATCAATCGCCAATGACTCAGGCTAATTACCTTGGTAAATAGAATAGCTTTCGAAGCATCAGACATATTTGACACATAAATGAAAACGAAAAATGTAAAGACTTATTAGTACTATTGACCTGTAAGCAGTTAAAGTAATGGAGAGGTAATAACAAAAAGGGATCCAGGTACTGCGGACGTTTAGTAGACCAAAGGATGATCTATTCTATTCCAAAAGACTGGGACTAACCAAGGCAGTATAAAACAGTGTAATCAAGTGTTAACACATTAAATCTAAGTTAGTTTCCACTAAAGAAACGTGTAGAATAATAATTGCAGGTAGTATTTAATGCATAAATAAAAAGAGTTATTCTGATAGTTTTGTCGCAAGAAGGATTATGTCAGGATTTTTAGTACCTAGCTAGTGATAAGAAAGGCCTCAACCTCAAAAAGAATAATAGGAGAAGTATATCTTACAATAACGTATTATATCGCATATCAATTCGTAAAGTTAAATTAAACTGAGACTAGGTTACTTTAATATTCTTCGTAACCTGATTACTAATTCAAATTACATGAATCGTTAACGTTTTCTTCATATTACAAGACTGTAGACTGTAGAAACGATAATATGCGTTTTAAAGCTATTCATGAGACCTTTTTCTTTGTACTTAATACATAATACAAATTTATACAGATTGTTAGTATATATCAGAATAAAATACACTTGATATGAAAAAGAAGGAAGTTGATAAATGGAAATGTTAGAATCAATCAAAAAGAAAGGGAGACAACACCCAGTCAGTAGTAATGGAATAATGTGCACATGAAATAATGGAGTCATTTAATGGGTATATACGCACTATCATTATTATTGTGTATGAAAATGTTAAAGAAAGAGAAGGAAGAAACAAGTATTAAAATATACTTATTAAATCATAATTAAAAAAGTAGGATCAAGGATTGAATTTTGTTTAGTTGTAAAGTGTTCAATCAATAAGAAAAGTGTAACCACTTGTTGAATCAATCTATAAGAAAATGACCTGGATCAGGTGTCTGAGCAATAGTTAACTTTTTGAAATAAAATAATAGAAACTAGAGAGAAATTCACACCTAGGTGTATATGACCTAAAAGATGAAATCAGGTCAAATATGAGAAGTGAAGCAAAATCGAATCTCCAAATATAGACTAAGACAAAAATGACTGACAGGCAAAAGAAAAACAGTGTTAATGTAGTTTAAAAAAAAACCTAAATTGATTTAGCCAATAAAACACCCACAACGAGAATTAACAAAATAAAATAACCCTGATAATCATATAACCTTGCCAAAATATGGGAACTCGAAGGTGAATAAAAGAATTAAAACACATTTTCGGACTTTTATCAATAATCGAAAAATGATGGAAAAATCAAGATCACTGGCTTCAAGTACAATATTTAAGTATTATGTTGACTCGGTGATTCTATTATAAATGCATACGTATTATATAATCTGTCCCTCTGATCCAACAAATAAATAAATAAAATATCAATAATATTCTTGTAATATGACAGCTGAGATAAATCGATAAACAGGTGATCTATTAAATAAATAAAAATTCGAAATATATAGCGACAGACGATCAGTTACTTTCAGACAGTAGACAATCTGATAGCTGTATATATAGCCAATTTAGGCCGAAAAGATGAGTTTGAGAATATACATAAAGGTAAATGTTCGTGAACCCCGTGAGAAATTAGACAAAAACAAGATAAACGAAATAGTAAATTGACTAAAAATTACAACAGCGACAGTAATAAAGAGTGGTGGAAACATAACGTATCAAAAGATTAAAGAAATAATGAGATCCTAATAGTGAAGGTTATTACATACCTGAAGGCGTTGAGTCAATTGATTGAGCTTGGCTTGCAAACTTTCAGATTCTTGCTGAGCTTGAGAACTTTCAGAGCGATATGTTCGTTCAGCAGCAAGTAACTGCTGAACTTGACCACGTAACTGAATTTCTGAACTACGTAAAGACTGGATTTCCGATTTTAAATTTCTAGCCTCAGCTTCTAATCTGCAATTTAGATAATAATCCAAAATGAAGAAAATTGTGAATAGATCATACAAACCTACGAAACAGATATTGAAATAAAAGCAACAACATATTAGTCATAATCGATATGTGAATGTGCTGAACTGACAACTATAGATCGGAGTTTAGCAACGTTATGTGGTTGACCATAAAAAGTATATTGAACTGAAGTACGATTATTGGTTCAGTGATTATCAACTAATCACCAATTTACCACCAAACTATAATAAATAATAAAATACTTTCATCAATAATATTTATACCACTGACAGATTTAAAGTCATAAAAGATGGCCTCGAAATGTCTATGATTATTGTTTGCAAACCTCAGTTGGGAGGGGTAGATCTTCACGGCTTAGACCACCGGTTAGTGAGTTTTTAAACTTTTATTATGGTCTGGTCAGGATACACTTAATTTTCACCTAACCTGCTTCTATTTTACCGGGTAGACAAAATATGAGGTTGTGGGTGAATAACCAAAGTTTTACACCCCAGTCGATGAAGGTTCTCAGAATCCTCTTCTGTCTAATTATCCACATCCTACAACTTCATTGTTGACTTGGAGGCTTGACCATGAGAGAAGTAATTCAGAAACATTTGTGGTGGAGTACCGGTTGTATGGTTCAAGAGTGGACTCCTGTATAGTATGTTTACTTATTGACAGATAAATGGATATCACAACCTCGTGCACAAGTGGCTTGATGAAACTGAAATCAAACAGACTGTATCCATATTGATATTCTATTATCTGTCAAACTAACAGGACAGATAAAACTACCAAGACGAGAGAAGTGATCAAGATGTAAATAAATTTATTTACACTTAGAAATGATGGAGTATTGACCGTCGATTAACTTATTTTGAACATTCGGTTAGTGAAAATTGAACCGATGTTTAAGGGTCTTTTTATGAATTTGCTTTTTTTTTGATTCACCACACCGAAAATTTACGACTTAAATTTGTGATCTAATGTCATGCTTTGTGTTCAATTAATCAGGTAGATAGATAGTTATATCACGACAATAATGAAAGCATCTAAAACTGGTTATGGGTCCTGAATATCGAAGGGTGTATTATGTAATCGATGATGTAATTGATGAAATCAATCCCACTATGTAGTAGTGTAGAGGAGAACTCAGGTGGGGCAAACCAATTTATTGTTTTATGCAAAATTGAAGTGGTTTAGTAAAATGTGAAGATCATGCATTAAATATATTATTTGCACAGTTTCTTTGCGTTGCCCTTTACATATTCCACTATTCCTTTAATTCCGTTGTTGTTTCGATTACTCTCCGATTTCCTTACTGCTCTCCTCATTTCAATGTTCTGCTGACAGGCATTCCACGTCTTATTGCTGCTACATACTAGCACATACAACAGAAATAGTAATAATAATAATACGTAGTTTTAACTGTAACAAAATATTCCCTAAGTTTCGCATTGAAAAAACATTAGCAGTGAAACTGAAAAAAACTCTGAATTCGGATGATAATGCAAATACTGGGAACCAGTAATGACCTAAGAAATACAATAACTGGATGAAATAACCACTAATTTTATATATATTAGAAACTTGACAATAACAAAATTTTTATATATATGATATGTGGTGGAGTTAACTTTACAAATGTGCAGACAAAAATGTATCTAGAAAAATATTGCATCAAGTTTTGACGGTGAAATTTATCTTGATGAAGCGATTGGTGAAAATGTGATAAGCCTGTGAGAATTATTGTCTAGGGATTTTGTATATTTGTAAATTTAACCTGCGTCTACCAAACAACTGGTTCATGGTATTTTACTTGGTTCTAATCGCAAGCTTTTACTTGACTAATTTCGTTTCCTTAATATTTGATACGTCTTCTACTGACCGTAAATTACAACAAATAGGTCAGACTTATTGCTGAGATCTGTATCACAAATGCTCTAGTTATGTATACAATGAGAATTAATATTTATGGTGCGTTGCGTTTGTTATTCTATGTACATAATAACGTGAGTCTTTAAATCAGAATATATGAATATAAGATAAAGCTGACTGGTTTTTCTGGTATCCTGGTTGATATCCATTGAGGTAGTTGTGTTGGCTATCGATTGTTAGCATACACAGTGACTGTGTTAGCAGACTCAGTGCTAAAGATCATAGACTGAAGCGACGACAATATTCACAGATTTGTCAGATTACACGATTGATTAATAAATGTGTTAGATTGTTTGAATTCTGAAAAACAATTACAGATAGTTTGTTGCTGGGACTTATATTTTTGACTGGACTTCAAATTTCGGCAATTCTGAATAATGACGTGATCAAGAATTAGTAATAGAACCCTAGACAATTGAGGGATAGCACCTTACATAACTATGGGCTGAGAGACGTAACAGCAGTACAGTGGTATCGCTACTGTCGAGAAGTGTGTTTCAAAGTGGAGAATGAAGCGTCAAAATAGCTGTTCGGAAAAGAAAGTATAATAGAGAGAAGTGTACATGCGGTTTGGGTACGTAGCTTTTTCTTCAAAATAATTGGCAGGTATGCGGAATACAGGACTAAATACCACAAAAAGGTTATTTTCAGTGGGCTTTAAATAATAAAAATAAACCGTTTTACCTATAGTAGGATAGTATGTCTTATCTGGGACGACAGTGTACACAGATGATTAAGGGCCTAAACACGCCTTCACAAACGAGGCTATATTTATTGAAGGGTCGTCCATAAACAAACGTTTGTAGACCCGACGACAGGTGTACACACTAATAATGCAGAAATTAAGTGGTTAAGATTAAAGAACAACCCTTGAACATATAAATGTTCTAAATATGCAATGATTTAGAGCTATATGGACAAGTTTTGGTGTAGAATTTATTCTGATTTTTGTTTTATTGAACTCATGGCTAGCATCTACATATTTATTAATCATATTAAAACTCGACATTCACTATAATTTTGCCGTTCTTTTTTCATACAACTTTCATTTACACAACCTGAATTCTAATAAGCTAATGACTGATGGATGTTGGGAAGGTCACTCTCTTTGATCTGTTCGTGGGTGTCAGAATTGCTTAGTCTAATGCTGATATCTGTTAAGTTCTCTTAACTTTTATAAAACACGAAATTGAGCTCTAAATAACAGTAATATTGTGGATGTCAGAAATATTATTCATGTTTAACGTTTTATTAAACATAGTGCAACTTGTGTTAGTGGGAAATAGTTTGAATGAATGGCCATGTCTTAGCCAGTCAGCACTAGCGGATACTTGAAGAAAACACTAGAATATTCTCGTGTAAAATTACTAATATACTAACGTTTTTCTTATTGTGATTCTTGATCTCTCTTAACCTTGTTTATTTGGGACATATAATTAAGTTCCTGTTCAACCGTGTTCGAAGAATACTAAGCAATCAGAGTGGCTGGACTGTAATGAGGGTTTATAATATTTAGGGATTTAAACACGAGATATATTACGACTGCATCTGAGTACTTAAGTTTAGATTTTTAAACTAAGTTGAGGGTTCGTTATTTCCGAACGTTAAAGATTGGTAGGATTGAAGATAAGTGGAGGGACTGATTGTCCTCTCAAAACTGTCACCGAATTCAACTCTTATCAACATTGTTTGGTTTGGATAGCGGGAAGTATGTACAGTAGTAGCAGAAAGGCTTTGGATATCCCACATGATCCAGATTCATTAAAATACAATTAGAATTCACTTGTATAAAAATCATGACGTTCTCAAACTCTCGTAGTTGCATTAACTCATGTAGTTACATTAACTTGGTAACGTGTGATTTAAACGAATACAACAAGGATCAGAGCTTAATACGTAAATACATGCTTGGTTATTAAGTTCCTTTTATGTCATATAAGTAACTTATATAAAACAGTATTTCAAGAACCCAATTAAGAATAACAGAAAACTAACTTTAAAGTATACTCATCCTTGTTAGCATTTTTACCGCCTGATTTACAACCAGTTGATAATGAGGTTGAACCGCATGTATTGGATCTACTACTAGCAGCAGCCCCAGAAGAAGCTGAACTTACATTCGAATTATTAGAAAGAGTTGTTTTATTTGAAGCAATATTGATTGATGGAGGTGATTGTTTTGTTTCACAAGATTTTGAATTTGATGGTGTACAGTTCAATTTGGCTCTACTATTATTACTAGTTGAATTAGAACAAGTTGAAGTTGATAAACCAGATGTAACTGAAGCAAGTAGTGACGTGGATTTCTTGTGAACTAATTTATCCTCCTTCATATCAGTGTCCCTCTCTATATGATTGTCAGCAGAAACAGTATCCGGAACAACAGAGTTAGGGACAGATGGAACCTTTACAATGATCGTTTGAGCGAGAGAGACGGCCACATACGATTCAGGCTAAGAATGTAGGATAGGAAACAAAATTTTGTGGCGAGGAACTAATAAAAAGACTCAGAAATAAGTTAAACAGCTAGAATAAGCCTGTTTTTTTGAATTACGAAGTATTGAGTTTAAATACAAACTCTTTTTTACTATTCGTGCCAAATTAAAACGATTTCCTATGTATGTGAACACCTGTGAAAGGTTATTTCATGTTATAGATGATCGTCACTGCTTTTACAAGAGATTGCAGCTACTACGCAGTTGCCTTAAATAAACTGGACTCTGACACAAAAGTAATTTTTATATTTTACAAACCAGCAATTTGACATTGTTTCTTCATTATTGACAGAATACATAACATTATAAGGCAATAAACTTAGTTTTTCCTGAACATTATGTGCTACATATCTCCGTGTTAATTTGCTATGAAAACTAGGGACGATGGAGATTTGTCTCAAGTTGTATGACTGACTGATGTTGTTAACTCTTGATTTTGAATTTTTCTATATTGAGTTGTATATGACTGTATGACTGCAAAACTTAAAATGATAAGCAATCGTAGTGGCCTTGTAATTTTTCGCTGAAACGCATAAAACGTGAGATGAGTGAAAGTTTTAAGTGAGTACCTACGAAGTAAATTTATGCAACCTAACTGATGATTACTTGACTAAAAGTAGAGTCATAAAGCAAACTAGTCACAATTCAAGATAGTAACTAGTAAATAGAAATATATGGACTAATCGTCTATTAGAGTACGTTAACGTCATATTGTTCTAATTTGACAGTGATAATCTCACTGAATAAAAGTACATAACTGTTCTCCTTAATATAAATGTAAAATTATATAAAATGTACCTGCTCTGAAAGTGATGATGGTACAGAAGTATGGTTATTCACTGGTTCATCATTTCCTAACCGAAATGTACATTCTTGTGAAACACTGCTATCATTTGAACATAAAGAAAGATCCGTACAATTATCACCACGAGTAGATGAATAGACGAGGCGTGTTGTACGGGGATGATTCAGAGACATATTCTTCTTATTAACACTTGAGGCAGGATGAATTTCTTTATCTCTGGAATGAATCGGGTTAACCCTATTTAATTCAGATATATTTCCAGATGAAGTTAAATTTGGCACAGTGGATGTGGGAGAAGAAATAGCCAGTGTTGAACAGTTATTTTCACAAACCATATTCGAATGTTTAGATTTAGGAATGGTGTCTTTATCGAAAGAAAAAACAGAAAACATGAGGCACTTCAATATAATGAGGTACTTGAACAATAGATGATATTACGTCCCACCATAGCCTGAACACAAAAAAAACCAAATTATCAATCGAAATCAGAATAAATTCGAAATTACATAATGGTACTTAAGTATACTTGCTATTATACCTATCAACAAATTAACCAAAATTCCTTAGTTCAATAAGGTGGATTTTCAGTGTAGATAAATGACTTTTTGTTGAAAATGTCACTTGAAAATTATGGGTTCTGTGACCAAACGAAAGTTAAAAAAAAAACTAATTTAGACCAAGTTATAAATCCTTAAATCTCTTATTACAATTATTTTGATGCACACAGTCCACCTAATAAAATTAGAACTGCTTATACTGTGGTTCATGGTACTTATATCGACAGACATAAGTGGTGTGTAACACCAATCGGAAGTAGCAAACCTGGTAACAAAAGGCTAAGAAGCCAGAGTTGAAGACAAGGGAAAATAGAAAGGAATTGAGAACTTGAAGAATCATACAGAATGTGAGAGACAAATGATGAAAATTTGTAGAAGTATTCAGTGTATGGTTCTTGTATTTTACCAAGATACTCTGTAATTTTGTATTAAAATACATTCGTTGTCCACACTTGTGTTCTCGTTCACAATAATACCACTAAAGTACATACAACAATAAAGATTGTGATAATATCATGAATTATAATGCAAGGAAAAAAGTTTTTTAAAAAACACTTTTTAAATTTACAGTGTCATAAGATGAACTTATCATATTTTCACTGCTTCTCATGTGTAGAAACCCAAATTAAATGAGCTGATTTAAAAATTGCTGTCATTGAACAACGTTGTAATATGTACGCGACTAAAAAAGAACAATGGTTATGGAACACAGAAAGCTGACTTATAACTCCAGCTAACTTGTCATATTTTACTAGTTGGGAAAGTGAGGCATTATACTCTCAGGATTCTAAAGAACATCTAACAGGTTAAGATTAGCAGGTCAATTTGAGTTCTATTACACTACCTTCATAATTCTTAAAATGACTTAAATACATAAACATTCTATCATTTATAGATTCAATACTAAGATGAGTGAAGTTGAACACAGTTAGAATACAGGTCTGATAGTCAAAATCAAGAAGCAGAACCAATTCATGAAATACGCGACTGCTTCTAATACTCAAAAGGTACATCGATGTGGGTTTATCAATCACTGGTGGTCGTTAATTAATTTCCAGGTCTTTAATATTGTTTAACTCATTATGATTAATATCCTTTACTTGTGATTGGATATACGAAGAAAAAGTACCCAAAAGTATTTAACAGTATCTAGCAGTTACTTCTGCGATTCTGTAAAGATTCTTGAAAATGGAAACATACATATAAAAAAGGGAATGTGAGAGGATTTTCTTGACAATTTGAAGTGTCTCAACGAGTCCAAAAAGCAAATCTACAAAAAAACCATATTACGAAACATATTCAATGAATTTCAATACAGCGGAATTAAGCGCTAGGCATACGTTTTTAGATTTCGTATGAAACAAGCTCTTAAAGTATGTATTTCACTATAAACCCTGGATAAAAATGGAAATATGACTACTAGTATTTTACAGACTTAACTGATAATAATGATACACAATAAAAAATCCATTACTCTTAAATATCCTAAACGTGGAGAAGTTATTGTTACTAGTAGTCTGTTTTGTGCGAGTGACGTAAACGCAGAAAAAATCTAAGATGAGAGAATCGAAACTTACCTGATTTTAAATAGCACCAAAGTTCCTTTGGTAATGCCTCTTCCAGAATTGAAAAAAACGTTATATTTTGTGCTTCCACAAACTTTTGTCTTCTCTGTGAATTAGGAATATATGAATCACACGAACATATTAAAAATTTGCAGTAAACAAATAAACTTAAGCGATAAATATTTTATTATCCATATGAGCATCGGTTCAACTTGCCACATTAGCACAGAAAAAAAACTTCATGACAAATCTCAGAGTAGCAGAAGTAGTAACAGTATCAATAATAATAAAAATGGAAATTTATAGGGTGATATCGGAACTAGGTTCTGGAAGAAAACAAGAAATAAATGTCCTTCCTCCATTAAGAACTACTTTGAATCATGAGATTTAAAGTCCCTAACAATTAGTTGCAATAACCACGCGACCCCTAACCATGTAGTCTACAACTACCTACATGACTCAGTCCACTTTTCAACGACTTAGTACATTGGTATTTTGTCTTACTTTGACAGCCCCTAGCGTTCTTCTAATCTGTTCTTACTCCTAAATCGGAAAACAAAGGAAGGTGATGGTTTGGCATAAGAAATACATGTCTTTACCAACTTGGTGGATGAAGATTCACTACTTTATTAATCAACTTGCCATCTTTATCCGCAACCTCGGGATTGTCTACTTGGCGGTACCAAAATCTTTCAAAGATACCTATGACCAAATGCCAGTAACATACGGATATCCTCTATCCATAATGGTTAAGTTTCACACAAACAAAGTGGGACAGAGTGAACTGCTGAGCAATAAACTCGTCCTTTGGCTGGTAGACAAAGATCCCACCTACGCCACAAGTGACGCCAGTTGACAAAAACCAATCGAGCCCTATAAATACATAACGAGATTTCATCATACACCAAGCCATTAGGACTGATATGACTCCCAAGACAATTGAAGCGATCGATATGTTTAACTACTTCACTTTCCATAAATAATGCAGGCGCTGGTGTAGACCAGTCCTAAAGCAACATTTTGGATTTGAACAGAAAAACACATCCGAAATATACTTGGATTGCTGCTTAAGGTCAGGAGACCTCGGAATTTTTCAGTATCTTTATGAAACGGAACTATGCCATCTCAGTATCCCAAGTCAACAAATAAATCTCTTTGTAGATCAACTCCCAAAAAGTCAGACGATAAGAGCATTATCGCTAAAAGGTTGTTTATGACGAAGTAAAATAAAAATATCGAAAGTGGATAGCCACGAATAAAACCGCTTGAGATTGACAATTCCATATGTGCTGACTAGATTAGTAGTATTATTATTTGAAAACATAAACATTCGTACAAAGGGGGAACCAAATACATACGCCAAAGATGGCCCAGATTGGTATAGGCCGCTCTGGCTTTCACTATACGCCTGCGCTAGCACTTACCCAGTTATTCAGATACGTGAACTTCTCGACTACTTCTATCCGCTCACTAACCAGGGTGAGTGCAGGTTCAGGGTCCTGCCAGTCTTGTAGAAGTACTTTGCACTTCGAAGGTGCAAACAACATACCATACTTACTGGCACTGATTGTCAACTGATTAAGTGTGGATTGCATGGCTTGGACATTATCGCACAGTGACACAATACCATCCGCATACTCAAGGTCGAGAAGTCTTTCTCCAGGCAATAGATCCACACCACCATTACTTACATCCGTCAGAGCTGTTTTCAGAATGTCATCGATGGCAAAGTTGAAGAGGAATGGTCAGATTGGGCAACCCTGCCTAACCCCACTGCTCGAATGGGACAATGGAGGAAGGTGGTTGTATGCCCTCACTCTACCTAAGGTGTTTGTATATAGGGCCTTTAGGATGTTAATGAACTTCTAAGGCACACTCTTCTTCAATAGACAACCGCAGAGAACAGTCCTGTCTAACGAATCGAAGGCAGCCCTGATGTCAAGAAACACTACGATTGTTGGCTTGTGATAAGTATGACGGTGTTCCAACATTTGGCGGAGGGTGGAGATATAATCAATACATCCTCGACCAGAACGAAGCCCAGCCCGCTCCTCGTGAGTCAATTTTTCTCGGGTTTTGAACAACCTACGAAGTATGACGGAAGCCAATAGCTTGGACGCAATAGAAAGTAGACTTATCCCCCGATAGTTATTACAGGAACAACGTGAACCCGTTTTAAAGATAGGGACAACTATCGACTCATTCCATGACGTTGGAAAACTCCCAGACCTTTGTAAACAACGTGGTCATTTCCTTGACCAGAAAGTCACCACCATCTTTAAAAGGAGCAGAAGGTAAGTCATCTAGTTTCGGTGACTTGTAGTGCTTCAAGAGTTGGAGTTCCTTGCAAACTTCCGCCTCATTCGGTGGATCATTCGTCACCGGCCATGGAGGGCAGGACAGTCTGATCGATGTTGCCGGAGCAGCAGGCCAGTTGAACTGCCTTCGAAGAATTCTGCACATCGTCCAAGACGTCGATGAATGTTGGTGATTGGCATCCCGTCATCCTCGCAGATTGTTTCGCTCACACCAGACGTTTTGCGAGTGCCCCGGTGACTTCAAAGAGCTCCTAGCAGCTACCATGTGCAACTGCTGTTTTCAACTCATCAACACCCTCTGACCATCAGGCTTCTCGGTCCTTACAAAATGTTTGTCCAATGTCATTAAGTGACAGTTGTCTTTTGTGGTCAAACTCACGGTCACTCGAAGTAAAAAGACAGGATTCGATGAGTTGTGAGGATTCAGAAGAAACCCAGTACTTGTAAGTGTGTCGCTTATGAAGACGAATTTGTCGGTCACTGAAAAGTAAATGAAGATTTGCGCGAACATGGGCAAGATAAGAGTTCAGATAGGTACTCTAAATGGAGTTTCCGTCTTGTACACAACCACGTCTGCGGTAGCTGATCGCGATGTGATCAATCTGAGTCCAGGTTTGCGACGCAGAGGGAGGACGTCACGTGGTACATAAGCGATGTTTTACGAGCAGCCAGATTTTTGATGCATGTTTCCATGATAAATATGAATAGTAGTGTATTGTTTCTTATCGCCGCTACTTTTTCGCTTTTGATACCCACTACTGCTCACGATCATTGAGTAGGTTTTTTATTGCCCTATGTCTAGGCTACATCCGCTACTCATCATGTTCCGATGAGTTTCTGAGCATCTATCAGTTCAGAAAACGCCGCTTGAAACCCACTGATTTTTTTTAACCTTTTGGTTCAAGTTACCGCTAGATAACACTGGTGTTTGTATTCCACGCCGAGCCACCTCGCGTTGGATATCAATTTCATGGTTGACTAACTCCTTCTTTAGTCGTTACTGAGATACATTCTTCACTTTTTCACCATTAAATGGAAATCTAAGGAGTTCTGTTTCCGTGTTTAATAAGATTCAGACAAATACGTGCTCGCGCATTAAATCGTGATCTGAGTTTAAACATATGTTCCAGAATGAGTGACAGTCTTTAATCGACCCTCTTCACCGATGACTGATGGAAATATGGTTTGAGTTCATCGTTAAGTCGATTGAAGGGGTCGCCATGTCAGACAATGTTTTTCCTTATGCTTAAAGTTACTGCTCCCTAAAAATAAACGGTTATATGAGCATAGTTGCAGCAGTCTTTTAGGTGGGCCGCGGTGTTGTAAGGTCCATCAAAGTACCTTTCGGTTTTATTTATACTACTTACTTGCGCATCAAAATCACTTATTTCTATTACTGTATACGGGCATTTAGCCTTTTGAAAGTTGCACGTTTCCTATAAAATTCATCGTTTGCTTCAACCAAATAAAAAGAATTGGGAGCACAGGCAAAAGCAACGGTGTGTATCCACATCTTTCTGAATTTGTATTATCCAGTCTGGTCGGACAGCGCACGAACCATTGTCTATAAAAATCCACTACAAGAGACCCTATCCTATTTTTTAACCGAATGCAATACCTACACCAACGAGACCATGGGAAGTAGCAGTGGGGACTGTAAATACACAGAAGATGAATAGCATTGGCCTTTTTATTTGAATGAGTGACTGCACTTGAATCCATCATGGACGTTTCGGATACGCCACATACATCGATGGCACGAGATTCTAGAGTCCCAGCTAAGGAGGTCTGTTGTCGTTGGACGTTGAAAGCTCCAACACGTGGTTTCATGGAACTAGAAATAACACTTCGTGAACTAGAATCATTAGCACTGGTGACGCATGGCGATAAGGATAGGAAAAATATTAAGAGGCGAGAGAGGGATTTGATTATCAACAAGATTATCTCTGGTGTTGTCAGATGTTATTCAGACTGCGAAAAGATATTTCTCGTTGAGGGACCTGAAAGTAAACCGGGTAACAGCCTTAGTGATCTGGAAGAGTAACCGTAGAGTATAAGGGACAACTGCTTGACGATGGTCACTCATAGACTTTTCATGAGAAGTTCTGATGTGTTAGCTCCGCACTTCGAAATCCTCTACTACCGGAGACAGAAATCCGAAGGGTGAGATGAGGTGTGAATTTCATAGGACTGACCTTTTCTAACCCTCTCCTTACTTTGTGAGAAGAGAGAATCGCTGGAGATGCTGGTTGTCGGAGGTAAACAGAAGTAAAGCACTTGTTAGCTGTATACTGGATAAGTAACAGAAAACAAGCTTGAGTATATTCCTTGGAGCAGCTAACTACAAAATCAAATACATCTACAACAAAAACGTTCTATTAACGGGGCAATATTTAAAGTACATTAAACAAATTAGTACATATCTAAGGTATTTAGAAATGCACCAAATAAAACGGCATGTGATTATGAAAATATAAAAGGTAGTACTACGCATTGGAACAAATGAAATAATTACATAACGGTGATTTTTAGGAAACATTACTATTTTATTACTTGTAGATAAGAGAAAATACAATGAAAATTCGATATAAGAATTATCCCTTTATTTTTACAAAGTTAGACGAACATTACAATGGTGTTAAAGATGTTTAAGCTGAGCTTACTTTACTAAGAATTTTTCCGTATAGAGATTGAATACATTCAACACACCCTCACACCTTTATATGATCATTTAAATGGAATATGCACTGCATCAAATGCATGAAGGTAAATCAATAACTGAGTCACTTGATTTCTAACTGCTGGGTTGCGAGTTCTAGCCGAGCTGTTTACATTAGTTTGAATAGCTAAGTAGTGTTATTACTACTGAAAAAAAATATGCGACATAAAGTCCATTACACGAATATTTACTTGATTATTTAGTTAAAATAATTACGTTCTGTGTTTTCTGAAGCCATTAGATGATACTTTATCGACCTCATAAGCTCTTACTCATTATTGTGGAATTTTACACTTGCGGGGATTTAGATGAGCAAAAACATATTGAAACAATTTCTGAAGTAGTCACTAAGTTCATATTCATTGCACACTGAGTTTTATGGAACTCAAAGACTTCTGGGCATCCTCCAAATTACCATTGCCTAAGAACGTATTGACGGATGATAAACATTTGGTGACTACCAAAATCTTTGTAATGACAAAAGTGCTTGCCTGGCATATGTCACCTGTGTCGCAGGCGAAATGTTTGTTTGTTAACCAATTTGTGAGTATATGGTGCAGTAGTACAGGGTTTCACAAGGATATTATTAAATTCATTATTCTCATCAAAAGAGGAAAACAGGGTCATATACAGAAAATTCCCAAGACATTAGAACATATCTCTTGGCGAAAATGACTCTGATAAACGATATAATACGTTTACTAATATATTTCAGTCAGACATGTTTAGAAAATTAGTGTCCAATTTATGTCTTGGGTTTAATGAAAAAAACAATTCAAAATAGGTATATGCATACTGACAGGTTTGGTGTCAAAATCGAAAATGTCATTAAAAACAATAATGGTTAGTTATTTTATCCTTAATTAAACCTTATCTCAATTGTTACTTAAAAGTGTATTTTAATGATATCTCATGCTACCCTTCCTAATTAAAACTTCAATAACACAAAACCAGCAAGTGTTTAAATCAAAAAACCTCATGTTACTAATTATAATGTCATACATATCTAAATGTAAGATCTGTAGTATACCAGTGCATAAATATGAATAAACAATTCAACTTTTGACCTTATATCAAACCACAAGCCTACAATTAGCACTTAAACAAAGTAGTATGTTCATAGTAGCAGTGCATCACTATCAGTTTAGTCCAATAAATAAACAGTCCAGAACTTTGGAAGGTGCTAACAATTATTTCGAAACAAAACACATTTCATGCATTATGGTGCAGTGAAAAGTTGTTGACCATCTATCTACTTATAGACTCATGAATCAAATGCATGTACTCAGTTGAGTACAGTATTAAGGTTAAACAGTTGAGCAGCGAATGTGAATTCTTCTTACTAATACTTTTACCACAAAAGTATCACTCTTAATGGCGACTATTTAGAAAACAAAAAAGGTCCGATTGGTTTAATCTATAAGAATATATGGAAAAGGTAGATGACCTACTTTGTTAAAAATTTATTTATGACCTCATACTGTTGAAACCAAGAATTACATTAGCTAATATATAACCCTTCTCTTAGTGACGGCTAGATTCCAAAGACGGATTACAACACATTGTACATTAGTTATAAGTCAAATATTTTCTGGCTGTGAATGTTAAGAAATACACTACATTTTAAGAATTCGACCAGAATCAACTTAAGGTTTTTTTTATTTGAAGAGGTCTATTGGCTGATAAGAAATCAATCGTATATCATTACCCGAGAATGGCAGGAGGAGGAAATTATTTCGTAATCATTCAAAATACTTTATATATCAAGGGATGGTGGACCTAACTAAATAAAATAGAAAATAATAGAAAAGTTATTGTAAAAGGGTGTGATTTAGCCAACTAAATGCGTCACATACATGCTTTTCGATTTCAGTAAGTTTGACTAATTTTTGTAAATGAAGATCTAGAAAAGCTGAAAATGTACATACTTCATTATTAAGGAATGGCGAAATTAACTCAAGAAGCTTCTATTAGTCTAAATTTGATACTAATACAAAATCACAAATTTAATTACGAAACTATTTGCCTGTACATCCACTAAATTGAGATAAATTATTTACAAAAGAATGAATTAATGAGTGACTCGGACAAATGTACATTGAATTAAATGACAAATGCATATAATGAGTCTACTTACCAAACGAAAATGATGTGAGATCATACTCTTTAAACTGAAACCCAAAGTTACAACGGGATAGCCAATGCTAGTGAGAAAGAACAATACATAAGATGATAAAACAATGACATAAAAATGGTGTATTTGACGACTGTGTATGGACAGGAAAACAATGAAGTGAGAATTAAAATTCTGATTTGAGCTACAAATAAGTATTGTACGTTTCGAAAAACGATTGTACAGAGCATTCCAGATAAATATTTTAGAAAGACGAATAGTCTGCTGTGAAGCATATTTTAAAACTTCGAATACATCAAGGAATAAGAGATTTGAGCGCTGTTTGGTTAGATCAACATTCGGAGGTAAGTAATAGTGATGAAAGTGATTGGATAGGCGCATTTTTAAATTCCAAAGAGATAGACAAACCAATGACTGAGACAGAGAATGACAAGTATAATCGAACCTCACGGCTCTTACTCTTTCGAAAGGATTGACAATATCGATCTACACTTGTCGCTACTAAGCCAAAGCTAGTCGGTCATTAAAAGTCCCACTAAAGCTACCGAATAAGGATATAAGAAATTTGAAATTCATGAGTTCTCCAGAAAAAATTCGCGGTAAATGATGCACTGTTGTTTGGATAGATCTGAAGCACTGGTTGCAAATGTTAGGATCATTGGGTGAGCAACATTGAGTTTAAATTCAAGATGATAAGAAAGAATGGAAAGTCAGTTAGTGAGGTAGTGGAAGTTTATCGACTCAGCTGGTTAAAGTATGTACTAAGTGTCCAACCAATGTCTAACATCAACACACAATATTTGTCGATGTAGGAATACGTTGGAGAAAGCCAAGAGCGACCAAAATGTAGCATGAGTCTATTGAGTCATTCGATGTTGGGTTGGGCCTAGTAGGTAGATGCATACCACTTCGTTAGGGTCCGTATGACGATTACGATTGGTAGTTGAAAACATTCGGTGACATGGCTCAGGGTTGATAGCAATGACACAAAATTATTCAATCCTTTTCTTCCTCTAGATTTTTAGTTTTAAAATTATCTTATACTTTCTATTCCGCTACTTCGTTCATTCTTCCAGTCAGTCAGTCAGTCAGTACCAACGTAGAACTTCGTACGTACGTACATCAATTCAAGTCGCCATACCACATTAGCACAGAGATACAGTGGTCGATTCAAGCCCCATAGTGGTAGAGGTAGTAAGAGCATAAGCAGTAATCGGAAAGATTAGGGTTTGAAGATGTTATTCAATGAGTATAATCCAGTGAAATAAATTTGGAAAGAGAAAAAAGGACATGAAGAATTCAGAAGATTTGGATTTGGGAGAACACAAAGAGTGGATAAACATGCACCATTGCAAACGATTTTGAGCCATATCATTCAAGGTCTCTAACCATCGGTTGCTTTCATCTCGCGGTCCCCAACCAGGTAGTCTACACATACCAAAATGGCTCAGTCCACTTGTCAGTGACTTCATGGATTTGTGCCATGTTTTGGTCTGGCCGCCCCTACCTTTCTTCCAACCTACTCCTATACCATTGAACATCGCACGTCGAGGCAGTCGGTCGTTGGGCATACGTAACACATGTCCCAGCCATCTCAACTGATGAAGTTTCACTACTTCATCAATTGATTTGCCATCCTTACCTAGTACTCGTTTCCTAACAACTGTGTTACTTACTCGATGGTCCCATGATATACGAGCAATGTTTCGAAGACACCTAAGGTCGAATACTAGTAACCTACGAATATCCTCTACTCTTACCGGCCATGTTTCACTGCCATAAAGTAGGACGGAACGAACTGCTGCGCAGTGAACCCGTCCTTTGGTTGATAGACGGATATCTCGCCTACGCCATAAATGACGCAAGTTGGTAAAAGCTAGTCGAGCCTTCTGTATCCGTGCTGAGATTTCGTCACACACTAAACCACAAGGGCTGATGAGACTTCCAAGATAAGTGAAGCGGTCGACACACTCAACTACTTCACTCCCTATCACTAGTTCGGGTGTCGATGTAACCCAATCCTGAAGCAACATTTTGCATTTCGAGGGAGAGAATCGCATCCCGAACATGCTTGCATTGTTGTTTAGAGTGGTCAGAAGACTCTGCATTTTGTCAGCGTCTTCACCAAATAAAACTATGTCATCAGCATATTCTAAGTCAACAAGTGAACCTCCCGGTAGGAGTTCAACCCCTGGAAATCTAGACGAGGAAAGTGTTATCTCTAAAAGTACGTCAATGACAAAGTTGAACAAGAATGGGGAGAGTGGACAGCCCTGACGAACACCATTTGAGGTAATCAATTCTGATGACAGTTCGCCATAAGCTCTCACTCTACCAGTTGTGTTCGAGTAGAGAGCCTTTATAAGGTTAATGTACTTCTTTGGTACTCTTTTCAGTGACAAACACTGCCATAGAACCTCACGATCAACAGAGTCGAATGCCGCCTTAAGGTCGAGAAATACTACCATTGTGGGGCGTCTGAATGTGTGTCTGTGTTCTAGAACCTGACGTATTGTGAATATCTGATCTATACAACCACGTCCAGGTCGAAAACCGGCCTGGTTTTCTCTAATCTGCTCTTCACGAGCTTTGATTAGGCGTCGAAGTATTATTGAGGCTAATATTTTAGATACTATATTTGTCAAACTGATTCCTCTGTGATTGTCACAAGAGGACTTTTGTCCTTTCTTATAGACTGGCACAATCAGTGATTGAGACCAGTCAGATGGGATTGCATCCAGTTCCCAAATTCTACCTAAGACCTCAGTTAATCTCACTGCTAATACTGGACCACCATCCTTAAAAGTCCCAGGAGTAAACCTGTCAGGGCCTGCTGCTCTCCCTCGCTTCAGATTTACGATAGCTTTTTCAACTTCATAAAGAGTCGGAGGACCTACATTAACTTGCCATTCAGGTCAACTGGAGATCGTGGGAAACTGAAGTGTGGCTGAAGACCAGTTGAACTGATCCCCAAAGTGTTCTGCCCATCGATGCAATCTCCTGGATTGAGAACGTATAATATGTCCATCTTTCTCTGAGATTGTTTCGCTAACGGTCGGGTTCCTAATTCCGGTTTCCTTAACGAGTCTGAACAATTGTCTGCTATTACCTATTGCCACTGCCTTTTCCATCTCTCTTGCTTTCGCTACCCACCACTGCTCGCGATCATTGCGAAGGTTTCTTGTCAGCTTGCGCTTAAGCTGACTCCGCTCTTCATTATGTTCAGAGCCAGGTGGAATGAGTTTCCGAGCATCTATCAGTGCGATAGATGCTGCTGAGATTCAGTGTTGCTCCCTAACCTTCTGGTTTACCTTACTAGCAGATGTCACTGCTGTTTCCACAGCTTTTCGGATATCATCCCAAGCTACCTCGGGGTGGGCATCACATACATGGCTGCCTAACTCCATCGGTGGCTGATAGCGATGTGATCTATTTGGGTCCAACGTTGGGACGAATTAGGAGGTCGCCATGTTAAAATATGTTTCTCCTTATGCTTAAAATTAGTATTTGCAAGGAACAGGCGGTTATCTGAGCATAGCTGCAACAGACGGTCGCCATTATCTGTTCTTTGAGCCACGACACCATGAGATCCACCTAGGTGTCTTTCCCTATCGCTTAGTTTACCTACTTGAGCATTAAAGTCACCGGCCACTATTACTACATCAGAGCGCCTAGCTTTTCGGAGAAGGTCGGAAAGCTTTCTGTAAAACTCATCTTTTACATCATATGAGCTGCAGTCAGTGGGAGAATAGGCAGAAACGATGGAGAGGCAACGACAAGTGTCCCTATCTTTCCGGATTCTTACTGTTCCGTTCAGTCGGACAGCGCACAAACGGCTGTCTACCGGGATCCACTCTAAGAGAGCTAGTTCTGCCATAGGACTCAATGCTATACCTACGCCGGCGAGGCCACGGGAAGCAGAGTCAGGCTTTCAGATACACGAAGCGTAAATCGAGTCGGTTCTTTATTTTGGCATGGTGAGGTTAAATGAATGACGCTACTCGGATCTTGTATGCGCGTTTCGGAGACGTAGCACACATCGATAGCGCAAGATTCTAAAGTCCTAGCTAAGGAAGCCTGCTGTCCTATTTGGCAAAGTGTTCGTACGTTAAAAGCTCCTACGTGTAGTTTAGAGCGTGGTTTCAGGAGACCAGGAATAGCGTTCCGCGTACTCGAATCGTTTGCCTTAGCGGTGCGAGGTGATAAAGAGACGTGAGGAGGGTTAGTCATGGAGATAAGAGAGGAATTAGGAGGTGTAGGAAGGATTGGAATGTGACCAACTTGGTCTCATGTGTTGTTACGGGTATGAGGGCTGATGTCACTTCCCGGCTGCCCACACCGTGGAAGGGTATTTCTTGAGGAACCTGAAAAGGAAATTGGATTAGTGTTGGTCTTGACGACCTGGGAGCTTGACCACAGAGCCCAAGGGACAACTGCTTGAGGTCGGTCGCGCACGGCCTTTTTGTGGAAGGTTTTTGATGTGTTAGCTCCGTTCTTCAAAGGGCCTTACCCCCGGAGACGGAAATCCGTGAGGTAAGGTGGGGTGTGACATTTTTAGGGTCGACCTTTTCTAACCCCACCCCTCCTTGTGGGAAGGCAGCATCGCTGTCATGCTGATTGTCCGAGGGGAACACCTTACTGGTGCCACACCCCTCTACAGTCAGCAATACGACTTCGCCCTCAGACCTTGAGTTGCTGCTTTTAGTCTTACCGTTCACCAATCGACCTGCATGGCATGGTAGAACCTACAGGAACATATGTTCCAGCCAATATAGCTCGGTTGGGTCATCACGATAGGCAAGCCCGACCACCGTGTCAAGGTAGCAGCTTCGGTCGGGGTTCATTCTTCCAGAATTATATTGTCTATACTTATTTTATTCGATTGATACTATGACTGAATGTATTGATAATTTCATTTCACTGTGTGTGGTAATTTGAACTGATGCACATATGTGCCCGGTTCTACGTTGTATGACTGACCGACTGGTTTGAATAGAATACACCGTTAGCAACAAACCTTCATTACAACTATTAGTAAAGTAGAAAATGATCATATCTAAAATTATGGTTGATTCAAACAAATATTGAGTATTCTAGAATCTAGCGTATACATTAAAATGTTAAAATCAGAAAAAAACGAGTAACATATGGTGCAAGCTGATCATCACACAAGCTGTTTAAATAAGAGATGGAAAATAGATCACTAGCGACGGGAAATGACAAACACCAAAAACAGAAAATATCACTGAAACTGTCACACATGTCCATGTGGTTTCTAAATGCTTTTGTTGGGAAGTAGCGAAAAATTTAAAAATTACACAAATTACTTCGCTATATATTACACAACACCCCACTCCCCCCCCCACACACACAATGGTCCCCATATTAGACTACGTAGCTTTTTTTACATCAGTGGTACGGGAATACTGATTACCAAAGCATGAGAGTAGGTTGTCTATCTGGCTATTGATCTTCGGTAGATGTGAAATTAGTTTGAAAATTACATTTGGTATAAAGCCTAGTAACAAATCGAATTTCATACAGTAAATATGATTTTCAGCGCTTCCGTGACAAAAAGCTGCTTCGACGAGAAAACACTAGAAGACCAAAGGTAGAAACTACGTATATACAATCTATCCCAGTTATTTAGAATGATTTACAATTATACCACTCATAAATGTATCAACTAAACACAGTGATGTCCACACGGCTTTTGGCTACATGTTTTTTGTGAGAAGTAATATTACTCGGGTGCCGAACTCATGTGGCAAAGTGTTCGGTACTAGAACTTACAGAGAGATAGCTTGTTTGTTCCAAAATCCCTAGCATAAACAACTAAAGGACTTGGATTACGTCATCTCTTGATAGTAATTTCTATCTTCTATGAGTGCATATGCTTTATTAATTGAGGAGGGTTTAAATACTACACAGAAAAGCTGTTAAATATCTCTACTAAACATAACTATATGGAAAGGTAACTCATCTAAGCAAAGTTTATCAACTTACCAATGAGCTGCAAAAGGTCTGCAGAGATCTATACCCAGCGGCTGGCTTTTTGGATCACGGAATCTTACAGCAACCTCGACATAGAAGAATAAAAAACATAATGCAACTGTTGGGATATACACACCACGATCTGAAATGGAAGAACGATATTTTTTAAAAGATATATAGCAAGTATGTAAATACATAGCTAAAAAGTCAAACATTTAAAGTCATACTTAATGGGTAAATATAAGTCAGAACTATAAATATATGTTTAGCAGACATACTATATTCCTTAAGATTGCTCAGTCGAACGTCTTGGTGTTCCATAGAAAGTGTTAATATTGGGTGAAGTCATGAGTGTCGTCCACTAGCAGGCTTGCCATAAGAAAAAATGTTAAATTAATACGGATATTCCTATATTCACAAACAGTCTTGTAGGCTACCATAACAACAGAAATCAATCGTTAATTTTTAGAACTGAACAACCACTCAAATTTATGTATTTTATATCTTTCTATATACTAAATGCATAATTGTTCTATTAATTTTGACTTGTTTCCCATGTTTCTGTCTATACAATTTTGTTCTGTTGGCTGGTCTGTGCACGCTAGTTCAAATGTTATCAGCATGTGCATTTTATTAACATATAATGATGACTTTATCGATAAGTTATTACGAAAAATAGGAGATAAAATATAATTGTGAAAGAGATTTAATTTGTGGTTACAATATTAAACTGATGTTTGTTTCCGCTGACACGAAAATAATCGCTCGAATAGCAAACATCATATCAGTCAAACAGAATTAACTTGATAGGCGTAATATCAAGTACTGTTAAATGGCAACTATCGTTGGTGTTAGCTTATCATTTGAGGCATCGGTTCCTACAATGTTTGTAGGTTAGTAATTCCATCGATCCATGTTGCCACACCTCATTAACACAACAAGATGAACACCAAATTCATAGATGCAGTTATTTCAATGGTAGCAAATAAGATATTTCATATAAGCATATGATACAGGGAAAAAGAATTAGTTCCTAGGAAGAGATATAAAGGTATTTTTATCTCAGGGTTTAAGGGAAGGCAAAAAGTGTATACACTTACGCCATTGTGATAGATTCTGAGTCATGTCACTGAGAGTCTCCAACCATTGGTTACGATAGTCACGTGCACCCCAACTAAGTAGTCTGCATCTATCAACATGGTTCAGACTAGAAGTTAGTGACTTTATGAACTGATGCCACATTTTGGTTTGACCGCCCCTAACTTTCTTCCAACCATTCCCAACACCGGTTAGCATTGCACGTCGTGGTAATCGGTGTTCAGGCATACGCAACACGTGGCCCAATCACCTCAGTCGGCGAAAATCCACAACCTCATCAAATGATTTACCATCATTCCCTAATAACTTGCGTCTAACCTCACTACCACTTACTCGGTGTTCCCGGAAGATGCGAGCAATATTTCTATAACGCATCTGTAGTTAAATATTAGTAGCTTACGAGTATCCTCTACTCTTAATAGCCACGTTTCGCAGTCGTAAAGTAGAACAGAACGAACTCCTGTGCAGTATACTCTTCCCTTGATTGGTAAACAGATATATCACCTTCGCTATAGGTGACGTAAGTTGGCGAAAGTCAAACAAGCTTTCTGAATCCGTGCAGAGCTTTCGTCAGACACCAACTCATTAAGGCTGACCAGACTTCCAAGATAAGTGAAGTTGTCACTTCCTATCCTTAGTTCAGGTGTCCACTCAGGCCAGTCCTGAAGCAACAATTTACATTTAGAGAAAAAGAAACGTATCCAAAACATCTTGGCACTGTTGCTCAATGCTACCAAAAGACTGCATTTTATCAGCGTCATCACCAAACACGAATATTTCATATGTGTATTCCAAGTCAATAAATGGACCTCCTGGTAGGGGACCAATTCTCGAAAATTCAGTCGACGAGAACGTCATTTCCAGTAGTAGGTTCATGATAAAATCGAACAAAAATGGAGATAGTGGGCCAGCCTAGTTTTCTCGTGTTTGCAGTTCACGAGTCTTTGTTAGGCACCCGATAATTATTGATGCTAGTATTTCAGACGTTATATTAGTTAAACTTATCCCTCTACAGTCATCACAGGAAGATTCTGATCCTTTCTTATATGTTGGGACGATCAGTGATTGGTACCAGTTAGATGGGATTACATCCAGATCCCAGATTTTAGCTAAAATATTAGTCAAACCAATCGCTAAAACTGGACCACCATACTTAAAGACTTCTGCAGTTAATCCATCTGGACCGGCTGCTCTTCCTTGTTTCAGATTACCTATAGCACTTTGGACTTCAATTAGAGTCGAGGGGTCCATTTCAATGTTCCATTCAGACTGTTTGGGAATGATGGGTAGTTGTACAGTAGCTGAACTGATCCTTAAAGTGCTCCGCCCATCGTTCTAAACGTCTAGACTGAGAACAGCTAAGAGTGCCATCTTTTCCCCAGATTGCCGCACATTTAACTTAGTTCCGGTTTCCTTTATTAGTCTGAAAAGCTGTCTTGTGTTACCTACAGCCGCTACCTTTTCTATCTCTTTTGCTTTCGTTGCCCACTACTGCTTACGACCGTTACGTAGACTTTTGGTTAACCTAAATTTGATTTGCTTACATTCTTCATCATGTTCCTAGCCTGATGGAATGAGTTTACGAGAATCTATCAGTGCAATAGACTTAATAGAAATTCACTGGTTTTTCGTAACTCTGGTTTAAATCACTAATAGATGTCGCTGCTGTTTACACAACTGTTTGTATATCTTTCCAAGCAACATCTGGGTCAGTCTTGTTTTTAGAACTACCCAAGTGTGATCTCAGTTGTTCCTGGAACAGACTTTTGGCTTTCTTGTCACCGAGTTCAATTTTAATGGGTATTCTTGATAGCGGATTTCGCCTGGAACCCCTCTGGGACTGCTCCCAGTCCCAAGCCCGGATAAAGGAGGAGGGTTGGACATGGGGTTAGCGACCCCATCCGGCGGGGAACTAACTCGCTAAAAATACGCTAACCAGAAAAAGTTATTTAAACCACTTCAACTCTGCCCCGTGAATCAGGTCTTCATTTGAAAGTTATAACGCCTCATAGTGAAACCCGAGTTCATTCGGGAGCCACGAGGCCGATGCCCCTTCTAACAACCAGAGCAAACATTTATTTAGGTACAATGTGGGAGACCGGGAGAGTCTTTCAAATTGCTTCAGAAATGAGGAGATACAACCTAGAGGTGCTTGGGATCAGTGAAACACATTGGACGCAAGTTGGACAACAACGACTAGCTTCAGAGGAGCTTCTGTTATAATCTGGCCATTAAGAAAATACCCCACATACACAAGGACTTGCAATGATGCTATTAAAACAAGCACAAAATGCACTTATAGGATGGGAATCTCATGGACCAAGGATCATCAAAGCCTCTTTCAAAACAAAGAATGAGGGCATTTCAATGAACGTCATCCAATGCTATGCGCCTACCAACGACTACAATGAAGATGTCAAAGATCAATTGTACGATAGGCTGCAGTCAATCGTCGAGAAGTGCCCAACAAAGGACTTGACGATTCTGATGGGAGACCTAAATGGCAAGGTTGGAATGGACAACACCGGATATGGACACTGACATGGACTAGGAGAAACGAAAATGATGAGAGAATTGCAAACTTATGTGCCTTTAATAAACTGGTCACAGTGGTACTGTATTCCTACACAAACGCATACACAAAACCACATGGACTTTACCAGATCACACTACGCAGAACCAAATCGACCAAATCTGCATCAACAAAATGTTCAGGTCGATGGAGGACGTGCGAAACAAGAGAGGAGCTGATATAACATCAGACCACCACTTGCCGGTCGCCAAGATGAAACTGAAACTCAAGAAGCACTGGACAACGGTACGGACAATATCACAAACGTTTTACACGGCTTCCCTTCGAGATACTGACAAACTCAACAAATTCAAGATAGTTCTCAGCGATCGGTTCCGAGCCTTTCATGATCTACTCAATGGTCAGTCAGTCAGTACCAACGTAGAACTTCGTACGTACGTACATCAGTTCGAGTTGCCACACCACATTAGCACAGAGATGCAGTGGTCGATTCAAATCCCGTAGTGGTAGAGGTAGTAAGATTATAAGCTGCAATCAGAAAAATTAGGGTTTGAAGATGTTATTCAATGAGTATAATCCAGTGAAATAAGTTTGGAAAGAGAAAACAGGAAGGGACATGAAGAAATCAGAAGATTAGAATTTGGGAAAACACAAAGAGTGAATGCACTTGCGCCATTGCAAACGGTTTTGAGCCATATCATTCAAGGTCTCTAACCATCGGTTGCTTTCATCTCGCGGTCCCCAACCAGGTAGTCTACACATACCAAAATGGCTCAGTCCACTTGTCAGTGACTTCATGGACTTGTGCCATGTATTGGTTTGGCCGCCCCTACCTTTCTTCCAACCTACTCCTATACCATTGAACATAGCACGTCGAGGCAGTCGGTCGTTGGGCATACGTAACACATGTCCCAGCCATCTCAACTGATGGAGTTTCACTACTTCATCAATTGATTTGCCATCCTTACCTAGTACTCGTTTCCTAACAACTGTGTTACTTACTCGATGGTCCCATGATATACGAGCAATGTTTCGAAGACACCTAAGGTCGAATACTAGTAACCTACGAATATCCTCTACTCTTACCGGCCATGTTTCACTGCCATAAAGTAGGACGGAACGAACTGCTGCGCAGTGAACCCGTCCTTTGGTTGATAGACGGATATCTCGCCTACGCCATAAATGACGCAAGTTGGTAAAAGCTAGTCGAGCCTTCTGTATCCGTGCTGAGATTTCGTCACACACTAAACCACAAGGGCTGATGAGACTTCCAAGATAAGTGAAGCGGTCGACACACTCAACTACTTCACTCCCTATCACTAGTTCGGGTGTCGATGTAACCCAATCCTGAAGCAACATTTTGCATTTCGAGGGAGAGAATCGCATCCCGAACATGCTTGCATTGTTGTTTAGAGTGGTCAGAAGACTCTGCATTTTGTCAGCGTCTTCACCAAATAAAACTATGTCATCAGCATATTCTAAGTCAACAAGTGAACCTCCCGGTAGGAGTT